CCTCGCCTCCAATGCTGCTAGCATCTGACATTTATTACAAGTACCATTATCGCTAAAGGAGGCAGAGGAATAACTGAACATGCGACACTCCGAGCAAGAGAAAGGAGGAGAGGAAGAGGGGGAAGCCATTGCTCTCGATTAAGCTACTAGCTTAGCTAGCTTCTAAATTAGCCGACCTAAAGTAGCAAGTTAAATTTGGTAGTTAGCAAGAACTTCTGCAACACAAGTGCTTTAAGTGGTGCAAGCGTATGTTGTCACTCAGAAATTCAGATGAACCTAGAAAATAGTGAGTTTAATTCCTAAACAATCTGGAAGCAAGCACAATGCAGTGCAGGTACAGAAAACAGGAAATGAGTACGGTTTACCGCAGAGGCAGGAAACAGCAGTCCGTCAAAGGTTCCGCTACTGCTAACAACAACTCAAATGCCGTCACCTTCATGTGTCTTTCATGAAGTTTGTGTACACTATACACCTCCGGACCGGTAGTTGGTGCTGTGGCGCAACTGTGAAGAATGGAGAGACTAAGTGTAGGCAAGCTTTAGAATTAAACAAGCTATGGCCTGGTTAACATGTCCTCTCTCCTTATCCACAGGTATGTCAATAAAAGTGACTTTTTTTTTAAACTCAGACACGGTTCTAGCTCACTTTAGAGTGAAGCAAAGGTATTGTGAACATGCTGTGATTATTTTAAGTACTTGTTAGTTTAAAGAGTGTTTTGATGCTGCTGAATTAGTGTTGTTTTTAATGCGAATTCACCAGTAGCTGATGGTTCAGTATGTAAGTGTGTATTTGAAGCGTTTTTCGGGCATTGTAATGTTCTAAAGTACTTTGTGACATGTATGAATGTTCAAGTTGTCTTAAGTTAATGTACAAATTCAGTTTCAGGTTTGGGGTGCACGCCATGCTAGTGTTCATGTAGATGTTTTACCCACCATTTGGCGGCGATGTCTGTTTGATGTGGCCAACCGCTGTGTGTGCATGTGTGTAGAGAGAGACGAGAGAGGGGAGATATGCCATGGATTAGTGTTAGGAGTGAATTACTGTGGGTTCGTATTATTTTGATGTTTAATTATTGTGTATTGCCAATTAGATATTATATTTTTGCACTTTATGAATTTAGTTACCTGGTCCAGTGGACCACTGGACCAGCGCTATACCCTCTTCAGGGTGGCGGGGGGTTCATGGGACTTTGCCCAACCAGTCCACATGTGTTTCATGGATCTGGAGAAGGCATTTGACCATGTCCCTCGCAGCGCCCTGTGGGGGTGCTCCGGAAGTACGGTGTCCGGGGGCCTTTGTTAAGGGCTGTCCGGTCCCTGTACGACCGGAGCAGGAGCTTGGTTCGCATTGCCGGCAGTAAGTCAGACTTGTTTCCAGTGCATGTTGGACTCCGGCAGGGCTGCCCTTTGTCACCAGTTCTGTTCATTATTTTTATGGACAGAATTTCTAGGTGCAGCCAGGGGCCGGAGGAAGTCCGGTTTGGGGACCACAGGATCTCGTCTCTGCTTTTTGCAGATGACGTTGTCCTGTTGGCTCCATCAAACTTTTTTAGGCCATGGTTCTCAGTCGGAAAAGGGTGGCTTGGTGGAGAGTTCCTGCCTCAAGTGGAGGAGTTCAAGTATCTTGGGGTCTTGTTCATGCCCTTTGGGCGTCCCTGTCCAGCCCGCGGAAGGTCCATCAAATCAGAACATGAATGAAAAAAGTTCACGGGTGAAATTAAGATCCCCAACCTACTGGGTGAGAGACAGGTGATGTTGGCCAGCTAACCCTCCTGGTAGTTTGACCCTTATAATATGATAGCTTGACCATGAAAATCTACTGTTGGCATTTGGAATGATGCTGGTATCATTATTAGTTTGAAAGTTGACTGGAACATTGACATCCATACCAGCTGACTACTGTGGTCTGAAGGCAATGTAGCTGCCTGCTAATAGAGCTAGCTTGGTATCTTGACACACAGTCAACAGCTTCTCCAGCTCTCACTATGGTTAATAATCTTTTAAATTATTTGAGTTATTTATTTATCCAAATTATGGTACTGATCACCACCAAAATCTAATCAATTGTTCTGTGGGCCATATCCTGCCTCTCAAAATCATTTCATTCCTTTCTGCATTATGCTGTTAAACAACCAAAGAAACCAACAAATGCCAGAAAAACATAAACCCTACAGGAAAGTGGCAGTTCAGTTGAGTGTGTGTGTGTGTGTGTGTGTGTGTGTTCCGTGTCATTTTCTTGCATTTTTAACATTGAATTTTATTGTTATTATGTGCATTAGTAGTGGTGGTAAACATTGTGATCTACCTTTCTTATTTGGCAACACAGTGACAGCAGCAGGTCCTGAAGCCTGAATGGAGACTTTCAGGTTGACACCACTGATGGAAGGCAACATATAATGAAATAGCTGTTATACACATGACAGTATTAGGAACATAAGTAAAGGAAAGAATAGTAATTTATACATAAATAACACTTTAATGATGTATTTATTAAAATTAGCACAAAATATCAGTCCTATCAATCTGTTCCCTCACCTTTGAAACAGCTTCTCCTCATTGGCCTTGAGATTTTTTTTGACTCCTGCCATGAAGTGGGTGATTCTGGTATTGCAGCTCAGGTTCTTTGGTTTGAAACAGAACCAAGATTCACCTGTATTGAGGTCAGTGTAGTTGCACAGCGGCTGCTGGTTCGGACGCAGGCACCAGTTACAGGCAGTAGTTTCAGAAACAGAGCCTGACCGGAAGAAGGTCCTGAAGTCAGTTCTGTCTGGTTGCTCTCTGTTCAGCCTGCGCAGCACCGTTATAGCTTCACTAGGATGAACTAGTTTCACCTGAGAGGACAAAGAGCCAGTTTTCACTAAGCCCTGACCACACTGTTAGCATATCCAGCTAATATGCATACTTCATACAGTAGTAACCCAGTGTTAGCCTACTTCCAAGGCCAAGGAGTATTTCACACTACAGCATTATTTTGTGGGATAGCGGTTTATATCAACAAAAATTCAAATCAATGACATGCATATAACAAGCATTTCACCATTGTGTATGACACAGAAGGGTGCTACTATCAGAGTGTGAGATAACAATAGCAGCTGTCCCCAGCCAAATAACTTTAGTCACAGTATAACAACTCCACCCCAACCTTCTTTACAATGAAACAACCCCAGACAAACTTATACTTGCACCAAACACACCAGCCAAACAAGTTTATGTAAGAATGAAATCAGAGTTTACAGCTTCTTGGGCCCCTCCTATTCAACATGTACATGTTTCTGCTTTTTAAATTTTCCAGGAATCTAGGGTTGCTTATCATAGCTATGTGGATGACACCCAGATATACAGATGTATGCACTGAAAGTGTCACTCTCTGCTGTGATAAGTGGCCAGTTTTGCCATGATTGTTTGTCTTTTGTCCTGTAGCATGGAATGTGCTACAGTATAACATCTGTATGTGGTGCTCAGCTTACACTCATACGTACAGCACCCTGTGCATACACAAATCATAGCCCATACGATAATGAATGCCTACTTAGAAACTGAAGTAAAGAACAGGACCTGTGGTCAGGGTTCGCTTTGAACCATGATTATTATTGACAACTTAGAAAGTGTGATTATTATTGTGTGTGGATTATGATGCGAGTTTAATGTAATATTCTCAAGACTTTAATTTCAATTTGGTCTCAGTTTCAAATCAGCCAACCTTCTCTTCTAAAATTAAGTGTCTAATTTACAGTTTAGTTCCAGGAACTAAACTGTAAATGCAGATAAGTTTTGGAGGGAGCATATTTTAATTTGGGATTATTTCTTGATTCATCTTAATTCTTGAAAGAATGAAGCATTGCTTTTTCCTACAGACACAGCAGTAGGAACAGGTGGTTTATGGAGGATAGCAAGGGTACAACGCATGGTGCTAATACGCTGGTAACTCATATTCAAATCCACTCTGACTTTTGTTTTGATGTTGATTCTGATAGTCCCTTTTATACAGAGATTGTGCTGCAACCTGCTGGTATTTTGACCTTCCTTCAAACTGCTTTTTTAATTTAAAGCATTTTACACTGAACTTTAAAAAGCTGGCAAACTGCTGTTCCCATGTACGTTTCAGAAACCTGTCAGAATCTCAGTCAGTGTAGCTACTCCATGGACAATTTTAAAACAAAACAAACAGGTGGTTATCGGATTTTGCTTAAAATGTTTATAAATGATAATTGTTAATTACAGTAGCCTAGTTGGTGCATCCAAAAGGTATGTGTGTCTGTTTGAGGGCGGGGCTACACACACACAAGGTGCACAGCAGAACAGACGGTAGTGTGAGTTGGCTGCATTCACACAAAATCCTTCCCACAGTGTTGTGTAGAGGTGTGACTGTGTTTATTCAGGCTTTGGAACTTGGCTACAGTGACACAATCACAAAATAAGGTTTTAATTCTCACATTCATGGCATTCTGGCTGGTGTTGCTCTCTCTCTGCACTACTCTGATGTTAATTCTGAAGTCTCTGAAGGCTCTCTCCTAACCAAGAGCTGAGAGTTGACACATAACCATAATAAAACATTAAATAATGCTGTTGTCAGAAAACTGGATATTGTGCTGTAAGATTTTAAAAAAATAGGTTGGAGAAGATTTTGATAATGTATTCACATATTTGCAGTTGCAGTGTGTATAGGGACCCAATCTTTAAGAGACTGCTTCAGCATTTAGAGTAGTCCCATACATAATAACAGCATGGCTAGAGGTTGGAAGTTTTAATTAGTATTTAAACTAAGTGGTCATTGCAATTCAGGCCTACCCCCTTCCGCCACTTTTGGAATTAACCTTCGACTAGCTGTAGTGCACATAATGTACGTATAATGGTGGTAACTTTGTTAAATATCATTATTAAATATCTCTGAAATCAACACAAATAGAGAGAGAGAGACCTACTTAACATTGGGAGCTGACAGACTGCTCAGTCTAAAATGATGGGGGGAAATGGACATTTTAGTATTCTTTGCTTATTTTATAACTGGTTGAGCCAGAGGATTTTTTTGATCATAATCAAATCTGATAAAAGAAAGTTTAGTCTAGCTCAGGGGTGCTCACACTTTTTCGCCTTACAAGCTGCTTTTCAAATGACCAAGTCAAAATGATTGACCTACACTAAAAATACTACACACACAAAAAAAATATATGTATGAATGAGTGTCGTAGTTTTTATGAACGGTCTGAAAGTGCCGCTCCACATTTCCCTTCTTCCGAATAGTGATGGTAGATTGGTAGATCAAGCAAACGCATTTTGAATATAACATCACGAAAAAAACGTCCTCCTCCCATTCCTCATGGAATGTTTTCGGTACGTTTTCGGTTTCTTACTTGATTCGGCTCCCCCACTCATTTTATACCCTTTAGTAGAAATTAATTCAAAGGCTGACAAAGTAGTTCGCTCACTGGAGTTTTGCAGTAGCTCGTGCGGTTGACTGTGCATGCTTGGTGACTCGTGTGTCAGAAAAGACGAGATCTCAGATTGGCTGCCAGCATGTCAATCAAGTAGCAAATGTAATAGGGAGGCTGGATGATAGGCTATATATGAATGATTGTCACTTTCGGCTTTTCCCGTCAGGGGTCCCCCAGCGAATCGTCACACTGACCATTGCATGTTAACACTTGGCACGTGTTTTATGCTGGATACGTCTAATTTATTTTTGAATCACGCAATCTACCAACACTACCTTTGTGATCGACGCATTGGGCACCCCTGGTCTAGCTAGTCCAGGTGTGGTGATTGATTCACAGGGTCAGCTTAAAAAAATGTGCGTTCCAATGTGCAAGTGGCACCCGTGAGTTTTTGTGTATATAATGATGTGGATGGTTCACAGCAACACAGTTTAGTGTTGAAAACAGGCTCTATTTACAAAAGACAAGTTACAGAACAAAAATCATATCATCCAAACTGACAAACTAGAGCGTAATTTCTAGGAGGGGCTGTGGAGACAAACATCAGAAGTGACAATCAGCAGCAGAAACAGACTTTACATTTATCTTAAGTGATTTCAACATACGGTTTTACCTGTGTAGCTGTGAGTGATCAGCTGTAGGTCTATATGACACAAGCGGGGCACAGGAAGGCCAAACCTCCGCAATTGCTCCTACACCCATCTATAGAGATGTAGAGTTGTTCGCTTTGAAGAATTCACCATAACAGATATCATCCTCAATTTACTTCAAGTACAGAAACAGCAATGGGACCATGCACAGACATTCTAGGGTCAGATGCTCAAGTACAGAATAAGGCCACCCCTCTCACTGACAGTTATTTATTGAAACCTACAGTATCATTTATCTGATACAAATATCAACAAAATTATCTGTTCACACAGAGGCAATGGTCTGTAGTGGGCTATTCACTATTTGTAAAACTATGCGGTCACAGTCACTGCATTACAAAAGTAAGACCCACTAGACTGTAACTGCCAGTGGCTCAGCTACAAGTGGCTGAGCTGCTGTTTCTGCAAATTTGAGTGTACCTTTTGTCATTTGGCAATGTTCTAATAATTTTAAAGTACTGGAAGTGCTGTAACGACTACAGTTTGTTTATTTGAAAGATTACTGAAATCCATATTAATTTAAGTTGCCTGACAAAGAATCTCACAGACTCCTTTGATGAGGCAATTTCTTACAGAAGCATCTTTTCATGACAGTCCACAACAAATATATTCTCAAAATGACAGCCTGAGTAGCAACAAAAACTGAGCAGTAAAGTTGCTGCTACTTAGTGCTTTTTAGTTTTCATTATATTTATTAAATACATTTTCTTTTTTCATGTTCCTCTCATAACTAGTTAGTAGCCAACAGAGAGTGAGATTATAATGTAAATGTTCACAGTAAATACCAGATTGTAGCTGGATTGAGCCTGACTGATCTAGGGGGGCAGTAAAAAAAAAAAGTCAACACAGCTTTGTGTTAACCTCGGTGTTTTATGTGAACATTTGTTACTTAAATCTGTCTTATTATTTTTTTTCAGGCCACAGCCTCGCAGAAATGTTAATCTTTCTTTTGGATCATTACTTTATACTTTAGTGCAGGCATGTAGATTTACCTAAGGTGAATAACAATTAACTTGAAATGCTTGAACAAAACTGAATCTACATGAACATTCCAGTATTGACTATGAAGCTTAGAAACTACAAACTGTTAGTTTTATTTTTTTTAAATACTCCCTTACCATGAACTTGTCATCATTTGACCTTTTCCCATTCAGATTTATTACATTAGAACAAAAGCCTTCTATGGTGGGTGGTCCTACTATATTCAGGGTGATGCTCACAGATACCAGGCTATAACGATTCACTTGTTAGGGGACATTGTTGGCCATCAAAGGACTGAAACACCACCGATGGGGCTAAATATCTCCAGTTCAACACCAGTCGAACAGAACTGATCAAGCCTCTTGGATGAGAGGTGAAACGTTTTCAACCTGAAACCAATTCCAGTTGATTTTTTTTTTCATACAATTATTTATTATTCATTGTCTTCTTTAGTACAGACATTTAAATTCTTACAGTCCTGCTTTGATTTTGTTAAATTTCATTTACCTCAACTAAAGTTGGTGTTAACATAACTTTAGATTTATCAGCATTTATTTTCATATGGCAAAAGGTTGATAACAGATCTTTCCAAGATTCACCAGGCATTCAAATTTAGATGGTCGCAACATATATGCATTTCGGTACGACTATTGATCAGAATTTGTCATTTAAACCACACATCGAAAACTTTGCATCCAAGTTAAAACTTAAGCAAAGTTTCCTTTTTAGGAACAAATTTTGCTTTTCCTTTGAGACAAGGAAATATCT